CACGCCCGCACCATCATTGCGTATTGTCAGTACAGCGGCTTTCCATGATAATATTTTTTATGATCATGAGTCACTAAGAGGATCGAATGACGTAACGTCCTTGCGTATAATAATGTTTATGAAAATAATGATGTGTCACGATGCGTGTGATTGTGTGCGTACGTGTTTGATTGCGTGCGAGTGGGTGCGTGGCTGTGTGGTCGCTCCGACAGCCTACAGTGCACTTTTGTAAGTTGTGGGTCTGCTATCCATAGTACATACTACATAATTATGCATCTACGTCCCAGTACATGTATGCTCGCACATTAGACGGCGGTAGGGCTCAGGGGTCAAACATGTGTCTGTATGTTCCAAGACTGTGGAGGTGTAGTCCGTAGTGAATGGAAACAGTCCACCAGATTCCATTCTATTCTTTGTCCTCATCTCGACACCCTGCGTAGATCGTGGAGTATTGCATTCACCCTTCGCCCCAACACACTCCCATCTTTTTGCTCTCTCCCCGCCCTTCCAAGTCCCGATCATTTCCTGTGTCATCACCCCGCCACACTCCGATCATTTGGACTCAGCTTGCCCTTCCACGCTCCGATCATGTGGACTGTCCTTATCATACCACGCTCCGATCATTGGCCGTATCCTTGCTCCACAGCCCACGGATCATTTGGACTGTCCTCGCCACGCCGTGTTTCTGAGATTTACCGTATTCTCGCTCCATCACCTCACGATCACCTCTCCTCTGCACACCACGCTTCGATCATTTCCCGTTTCCTCGCCACGCCACTCTCCGATCGTAAGCATCTCCTCGACCCACAACTCTCCGGTCATTTCCCATCTCCTCACTCCGCAACGCCCCGATCATTTGTCGTCTCCTCGCCAAGCCACGCTCCGATCATTAGCATTTGTTCGACCCATTGCTTGCTCTTCTCGATCCAACACGCTCCGATCATTTGGACTCTCCGCGCCCCACCAGGCTCGGCTCCTTAGCGTCTCCTGGCTGAACTACGCTCCTCGACCCACCACGCTCCAATCCGGTGCCCTCTCCTCGAACCCGCCACGGTCCGACTGTTTGGCCTGTCTCGTGCATCAACCAGCCCTACGTACCCCGCATGAACTCTGTTTTCTGTGACCCAATTATACTGGCGATGAGACATTCCTAGGTGTAATCAACACGAGGGTGTAACAAGGGTATTGGCCGGCCGCACACTCGACTTTCCAGAGGCCGACATCTGTTGGATGAGGTTTGACAAAGGATCCCAACATACCGCGATCTTCTCAGGTTTTGAAGCCGTAGGACCAGTGTCGTTTTGTTTTGCAGGGGCTGGCGAGCTACCATAACCCCATACGGGGGATAGGGAATTCCTCATAGTGGTGATGGTGACATTCCGAACAGGAGCAGACCCATCTTAGCGCAAATCATGGCGCGATTGTTTTCTGTTCTCCGCTCGAAGCGCTATAGGAGAGGTGGAGTACCTCTCGCTAACACTGCTTTCCCGACCATGTTCGCCACATCATTGATCCTGACAATGGTATCGGGAAACGAGCTATCTCTCATTTGAATACTAATTCAATCTGCGGGACCAGCTAGCTCTGAACACTGACGGCAATCTGCATACTAGTAGGTAAATGACGTCACGCACTGCACTAGAGTAGCAAGAATCTTGAGCAGAGAGCATTGGGGTGTGTTGATTGTTATCCAATTGTGGTTGCGATGCTCTTCGCGTCGGGAGTGACACAAAACGTGACAAAACCTCTCTCCGATTCAGGGGCATGCTATCTGGTACATGCAATTTGCCACCTCTGATCCTATCCAATTTAGCATTGCCCACACCATGTCGAAACATAGACGACACGCCATTGTTCGTTCTCAAACCACTCACCATTGTTTGTAGACAGAAAGCGAGTGTCTACCAACAACACTGCATAATAAATTTGATATGCATTCAGATTTCACGGTGGGGTTAGACAGTATGACCCCTTGGATGCAAAGCAGCAGATGCACACACTGAGACGTGCATTGTTGGTACATTGCGCCAAAATGCAATCATTATTCCGGGTCATTGTCTGCAAGCGACTTCATCCTTGACTCGATTACCTTTCAGTTAGCTCATTCCAACTGTCAACTTCCCTTCGAATTTTTGTCCCGCGGCTATCTAGTATCAAAGCGCTCATGCCACCCTAAGCGCGCTGATGAGGCGCCCATGGAAAGCAGTGGCTGGAGGAAAGCTTGATAAGGCCCTGATCACGCCGTAAATATCTCTCCACAACCCTCTCTACGCCCTCGAGGTCGGTGGCCATCTGCGACTGAAGTGCACACTATTCACGCATACCCTTCTTTTCTCCCAAACGTCATGCCGCAGGCGATAGCTTCTCGCGATGGTGACAAGACGCGCGCCATGATTGAATGGGACTCAGGAGCTGCGTTGAAGAGGACCAGCATCATCGACAAGACCCAGGTGGCATCTGGGCGGTATGTTTACAACTTTGTGCATTGTCGAGCAGTGGAACAGCGCGTTCCAATTCATTTGTGACATTAGCTTTACTCTTTTTTTCATGCCACGTTTGTCCGTATGCTACATGCAACTGTTACATGTACAGTCAATGCTCCCGCGTACTGTTTGTACTGACCACCCACGCATACTGCTGTCCTCACACGCAGCTTATCCACAAAGGGTGATAGCGATAGTACGTGTACATGGTCCCAGTATGCAACCTTGCATGGGCTGCGTAGGGCGCTCAGTGTCCGGAGTACAGAGCTAGCAACACAATAGCAATGCCATGCCAGTCTCTCTTCGCTGTTACTTGGAATTTGATGTCAAATTCAAAATGCATTCATCAGCGAGGGCAATTATAATGGCGGCGTGAAAACCTGATCAGCTGGTCAATGGCTCCAAATTCCGTTCCATAAGTCATAAGAGAGTGCGAATGCCGCTGGTCGGCCAGGAAACTGGGAACTTTGCAGGGCACAC